GTGCCCCCCCCCCACTCTCTCCCAAGGGCCGAGGCGCCCCCTTCCCGTGTCCCTCCGCCGGGCCCACAGCCGGCCTTTCCTTCTGCCCCCTCCGCTGGCGCATACGCCACCCCCGCGTGTGGAAGGGTGGGCACCTGCTCCACATAGAGCTGGATTTTGCGAACATTTATTGAGCGCCCTCCAAGTGCCGGGCACTGTGCCTGGGGCTCCAAAGACGACCAAGGCAGAGACCCTGGATTTGAGGAGCTTCCGAGCCGGGGCTGTGGACCGGTCGCACTGGAGGGCCACGGGCTGTCACGGTGCAGCGTGCTGGGAAAGCCGTCTCGGTGCGCGCTGCCCTGGGGGCGCGAGGAGGGAGGCAAGAGGGCAGGAGGGGAAGGCTGCTGCGGGGAGGCCGCTCGACTCGGCTGGGGGGGCGGGGGGGGGGCTGCGTGGGCAAGAGGGCAGGAGGGGAAGGCTGCTGCGGGGAGGCCGCTCGACTCGGCTGGGGGTGCGGGGGTGGGGCTGCGTGGGAAAGGTGACTAGTGTCCAGGGGCTTCTCCTAGAGGACGCTCTGAAATGGCCATGATGATCACTGACTTCTGTTGTGCTGTCTCTGTGTACAGGTGCTCCTCAGATCACTTTGCATCACATCAGCCCCTGAGACGGAGACCGTTACTGCCTCGGCTCTGCCACTGAAGCAGCTGAGGCTCAGGAGTGGGAGAATGTTCGTGGAAGAGAGGGCAAGAGCTGCTGTGCCAGTGAGCGGTGGTTGTGGGTATTAGAGGGTGAGGAGTGAGGGAGTCCCCTCCCCTCAACCCCAGCAGCAGAGAACAACGCACGCCTACTGGGAGGTGTGGACCCAGAGGTTAACTCGGGGACTAAGTCTAGCACGTCAAGGAGTGTAACTGGGTAGACAGGCCCCGCAGCCTGCAGTGAATGGGGACGCTATGAGAGGCAGCAAATGTCATGATGAAATTCCCCCCTTTCCTCAAAAATCATCTGCACCAGATCTCAAGATGCAGTGTGCCCATGGATCACCTGGGGGTTGTGTAGGGCTGGAGTGGAGACAGATTCTGCATTTTCTTTCTTTCTTTTTTTTGTGGCTGGCTGGTAAGGGGATGCAAACCCTTGACCTTAGTGTTGTAACACCCTGCTCTAACCAGCTGAGCTAACCAGCCAGCCCATATTCTGCATTTCTAATAAGCTCCCAGGTGAGAGAAAGTCTACACAAGACATTGTTACCTGTGGTGCTTACTGTTGGTGAGATATCAAGAGCTGTCTGGAATAGGGTCAAATGATTTTTGACAAAGGCGCCAACTAATAGGGCTGAAACAACTGGATTCATGTGTGTAAGGAGTCAATCCCTACCTCACACCATATACAAAATTCAATTTAAGAGGGATCATAAGCCAAAACATAAACTAAATTGATAAAACTACTAGAAAACAGGAAGAATATCTTCTCAATCTTGGGGTAGGCAAAGATTGCTTAGAAAGGATTCGAAAAGCATGGACCCTAAAAACAGTAAATGGACTTCATCGAAATTTAAAACTTATGCTTATCAAAAACACTATTAAGAAGAAAAAAAAAAAAAAGGAATAAAGGCCGGCCCGTGGCTCACTCGGGAGAGTGCGGTGCTGATAACACCAAGGCCACAGGTTCGGATCCTATATGGGGATGGCCGGTTTGCTCACTGGCTGAGCGTGGTGCTGACAACACCAAGCCAAGGGTTGAGATCCCCTTACCCGTCATCTTTTTTTAAAAAAAAAGAATAAATAGAAAAGCCACAGAGCCATAGACTGGAAGAAATATTTATAATGTTCATATCTGATAGAAAACTTGTATTCAGAATAAAGAATTCCTGCAACTTAATAATAAAATCACAAACAACCCAACTGAAAAATAGGCAAAAGATATGAACATGCACTTCACAAAAACAGATATACAAATAACCAATAAGCAAATGAGAAAGTGTTCATACAACATCATTTGTCATTAGGGAAATACAAATTAAAATCTGTCTTAGTTCCTGCTGCTATAACAAAATACCACAGATTTGGTAGTTTATAAATAGTAGAAATGTATTGCTAACAGTTCTAGAGGCTGGAAAGTCCAAGATCAAGGTGCCAGCAAGTTTAGTGTCTGGAGAGGGCCTGTTCCTCACTGATGGCATGGTAAAGGTGTCCTCACATGGTGGAAGAGACAGAAGGACATAGAGGGATGAACGCTATGTTCTTACATGGCAGAAGGGGCCAAAGGGGCTAGGGTGCTCTTTTAACATCTTTTATAAGGGCATTAATCCCATTCAGATGTTTGGCAAGTGAATATATAAATAAATTGTGGTTTATCCATACGGTGGTATATTTACCAATCAATAAAAAAAAAAAAACTACTATGCAAAGCTTATCCCCTCCATGCAACAACATGGTTGAATGTCAAACTGTATTGTACTGAATGAAAGAAGGCAAATGTGAAAAAGGAACCTGGGGCGTTGTGATCCTGATGCTGTCACTGCAGTCAGAGGCTTTGACTCAGCTGGTCCAGAAACTCACTCTATTATTATTATACAAATTACAAAAATTACCCCAGAAGAGAGAGAAAATATTAACAGACCAATTTCAATAGAGCAGAGCTATCAAAGAACTGCTCCTTCAAAAAGCACCAGGCCCTGGTAGTTCTGCAGAAGAATTCTCCCAAACATTTAAGGAACAGATATCTCTAACTCTTTTAGAGCATAGCAATAGAAGAAAAACTTTAAAATTGTTTTTATGATGGCATTGATACTAAAACCTGTCAAAGAAAGCCAAAAAAAAAAAAAGTCTCACTTATGAATATTGATGCAAAAATCCTAAAAACTCTATTAGCTTATTGTTTTTATGATGGCATTGATACTAAAACCTGTCAAAGAAAGCAAAAAAAAAAAAAAAAAGTCTCACTTATGAATATTGATGCAAAAATCCTAAAAACTCTATTAGCTTGCAATTTTACCAGAACACGAAAGTACAGTGTATTCTAAAAATGGTTTAATATTTGTAAATTAAATTGTTTAATGTGGAAATCTATTACTATAAGTGCATATAAGGCAATCTATTAGTAGGATAAAAAGTGAAAAATTCACATTATTATATCCATAGAAGATGCTGAAAAGGCATCCATACATAATTTTTTAAAATATCTTTCAAAAACATAGGTGAACAAAAGGTTAAACAGAGTTACCATATGAAACAGCAACTCTACTTCTAGGTATATTCTGAAGAGAAATGAAAATATATATCTTCACAAACACTTGAACGTGAATGTTCATAGCAGTATTATTCATAATACCCAAAAAGTGGAAAAAAGCCATATGTCCATCAATTGATGAATGCATAAATAAAATGTGGTATATCCATAAAGTGGAATATTATTTGTCAATAAAAAGAAATAAAGTACTGATACATGCCTCAAAACATTATGCTAACTAAAAGAAGTCAGTCACAAAAGACCACACATGTTGTATGATTCTATTTACATGAAAAAATCCACAATAGGCAAATCTATAGAGACAGAAAGATTGGTGGTTGCCTAGGCTCGGGGGATTGGAGGTGGGACTGACTGCTCATGGGTACAAGGTTTCTTTTCAAGATGATGAAAATGTTCTAAAATAAGATTATGTGCTGGTTGTCAACCCCTGTGTATATGCTAAGAAAAATTAAATTGCACACTTTACATAGATGAATTTTATGGTATGTAAATTATATCTCAATAAAATTGTTCTTATTAAAAGTAAATAGCCTAAGTCCTCCAATTAAGAGGCAGAGATTGTCACATGATAAAAAAAAGCAAGGCTTAACTATATGCTTTCTAGAAAAAATTCACTTCAAAAATAAAGACACAGGGGGAGAACACAGTCTGAATGATTTCTGTTTTTTTAAAAAATAAATAAATAAAAAATAAAGACAGATACACTAAAAGAGAATGAATAAAAAAAGATTTACTGTGGAAACACTAATAAAGCTGCAGCAACTATATTAATATCAAGCAAAGTAGACCTCAAAACAAGGAATATTACCAGAGATAAAGGGGTATCATTTCATAATGATAAGGGATTAGTTGATCACTGAGATAGGTTATGTGTATGATTCTAATTTGAATCCCTAAGTGTGTATAAATCTAATAATCAAACCTCAAGGTGGCTAACAACACCAGAATCACTTAATACTACTCTGGATGTGCTGGCCAGTATGAGCAGGTGAGAAGAAAGAACAGACGTAACTACTAGAAAGGAGGCAGCAGAGGTATACCCGTGATGACATGCGTATACCGAGAATCCCAAAGCAGTTGACTAAAAAGCCAATAGAGGGGCTGGCCCGTGGCTCACTTGGGAGAGCGTGGTGCTAACAACACCAAGTCAAGGGTTAAGATCCCCTTACCAGTCAAAGAAAAAAAAAGCCAATAGAAATGATTTTAAAAATTAAATAAGATGGCAGAGTACATAATTGATATTAAAAATGTATGACTTACCTATGAGCAAAAATGAATTATTATAAAATATAATGAAAGAAAAAATTTCAAACTAAAATAGCAAGCAAAAGATTAAATACCAAGTTATAAACTTAATAGAAAAAATGAAGAATCTATCAACACATTTTAAAGGTTTTCCTCTTTAAAATGCTAGTGAAAGACATAAAAGACAAAGCATAACTCAAATGGATGGGAAAAAGGACAGTTCAATGCCGTAAATATGTTAATTAATTCTAAAATAATCTCCAAACCCAGTGCAATTTCAATTAAAATATAAAAAGGATTTTCAGAGGGAATTTATTAAATGCTACTAAAATTCATCAAGAAAAATAAACATTGGTGAATAGCAGGAAAATTCTGAGAAAGAACAGTTATGGGACCCAGGGTGGGTGGAGGGGGGGAAGACTGGCCGGTTAGCTCAGTTGGTTAGAGCGTGGTGCTAGTGACACCAAGGTCCAGGGTTCCGTTCCTGTACTGGCCAGCTGCCAAAGAAAGAAAGAAAGAAAGAGAGGGACCAGGGGAGGGGAGGTGTAAAGTGGCACTGGCCTTATCAGATAGGAAAGAGATATTTAAAGTTTGGTACTGAAGAGTCAATCAACATCTAGACAAATATAGCAGAAGGGAAAGTACAGAAATAGTACTCATGTATACGGTCTTTTAATTTTTGAGAAAGACAACATAATAAATAAGTGGGAGGAAAGGAATTACTTATTTTTTAAAGTGTGGGGACAATTACAACTAGCTACTCTTTATTAAAATGGCAGCGGGGAGAAAGCTGATCCCTACCTCATTCCTCACACCAGGATACTTTCCCAGTGGCTTTATTTTTATAATCTTGCAGTGAGAGAAGACTTCTAAGCAAAAGCCGAGCCCAAATCTATAAAGAAAAAGGTAGATATGTGTGACTAAATAAAACATAAACATACTTATAGACAAAAATATTACTTGCAACATGATGTGATATATGCAGTATGATAAAGTTAAATTCTTTAATTTAAAAAAAGTCCACACAAATCAATAAGAAAAGATTTAAAAATTTTAAATACTCAAAGAAAATAAAGTTTGTTACAAAAGAATGATTCAGCCAATAAACATAAAAAAAGATGCACAACCTCACTCGTAATTGAAGAATTCTAAACCAAAATAGAAAGCAATGTCCCTTGCTACCTATTAAGATAAAAATGTTTGTTTGTTGGCATCCAGTGCTGTCAAGAATGAGGGAAATAAACACAGTTTACCCAGTTGGAAGAAATGT